TGGCAGCAGTGGATCTGGATGCCACGGGAGCAGTGGTGGATCCTGCCACGGAAACACCCAGGAGTGCCAGCAGCAAATCTACCAAGTGTCCTCGAAGATGAAGTGATCAGACCCTCATCTGCAGGTGATCCAGGCATGTCCTTGACCCTGTGCCCAGTTCAGAAAGCTTTGCATGTCCCCAGCAATTCCCAAAGAAAATGTCTCCTCCCCCTCCCCTGGTGAGTCCTGTGACCTCTCCTGAGCTTTGTCTGTGGGTGCTGAAATAAACTCTCTGTTCATGGCACAGCTTTCTCTGTATCATCTGTGACTGCACAGAGCCAAAATCTGGAGTTTGGGAGGGGTTTTGAGCCATTACAATCTGGAGTTTGGAATGGGTTTTTAGACACTACAGTTCAGGGTTCAGGAGGGTTTTGTGTGGATGATTTCCCTTTCCCCTTGTGTTTCGTGTCACAGTACAAGACACCTCGTGCTTGTTTAACGCCCTGACATTGCCCTGCCCAGACAGGGTTTGGGCACTGCCACAGCCCCACTTTGGGCTCCAAAGGAAAAGAAAGAGACAATAAAGATTTTCAGATGCTGACAACTCTCCCCCACACCCCCTTCCCACACAGCTGGAGACCCAAGACCCCCAGCAAGACCCCAAGGGCTGCCTTGCACAGCTCAGGGCTGGCTCTGGGCACAACCACAGGGCAGAAAGAGTCTCATAGACAAAGAACCCCATTTTTTTGCCTTTTGGCCCCAAAAGGCCAACCCTGGGGGAGGTATCTCCACGTGCTGGGGGCAAACCTCCCAGCAAGCCTTTCTAGAAACCCTCTGCCCAGCCCTTGAGGAGCTCTGGGCCGGGCCGGGGGCGTCAGCGTTACACAACACGCTGACAAATTTCTTCTCAACTTGTAATTAAAAGGAATTGGGTAATTTATTGCTCTGGCATTGCCATTCATGAAATGGATGTTACCTTGATAAGATGGTTCTCGAGTGCGTCAGGAGGATCAGAAATATCTGGCATTGCTGAAAAGGGTGCAGGCAGCAGCTCACTCTCTGCTTTGGGATCCTTTGGAAAAGCTCTCAGTGTGACTCTGGAATTTGCCTTGAGCCCCCCCCATGTCAAACCCCATTTTCAAGGCACTTTGAAGTGGCCAAACCCAAAATCTAGAGGTGCCCAGGCCAGCTGGCTGGATGCTCTTCATTCACAAACTCAGCACAAGGAACTGAGCACAGCGAGTTGTCGGGGGCCAAAAATTACTTGGAGTCTTTTTTTCCCGAAGAATATTGACCATATTTTTCTGATGGGAGAACAAAACACAATTAAGCAGCCTGGGTACAGTTTGCCCTGACACTGTTCCAGTTTGTAACAGCAATTTAGCAATACAAAAGAAGCATTTAGGTTGCTCACCTGGTTCTTTAACCCTGCCCTGTCCTCCCACCTTTCCAAAAATCCTCCGTGTTTCGGGAACACCGAATGTGTCAGATGGGTTTTGGGATGCAGGAACCACTCAGGACTTGCAGTGACTTAACAAAGAGTCAGGCACTTGTGTTGAAAGCAGGAGCTCAGGAGAGGCAGGAGAGGCACCTCGGTGCCTTCCCAAGGGATGCCGGGTGTGAAACAGTCTTAGGAAAGGTGGGATGAGGCTCCATTTCCCTGGGATCAGCATAAAACCTTAATCAACATGGAGAAAGACAAATTAAAGGCAGGAGAAGTGGCCCAAAAATACCAACTCCTTGAGCATCTCGGCTGGAAGGGAAATGTTTTCCACCCAGTGTTTCCCAAGCACTTTCCCCTTGACAAAATCTCAGCAGCTCCCCTACTTTAGCTGGAAATCCTGAGTTTAGTCTTTTATTTGCTGCCTGTTTAATTACTGAACTTCCAGTTTAATTACTGAAATATCTTCCACAAGCAGTGACAGAAAAGAGCCAAACAAGCTCCGTGGTCCTAAACAATTCCCAGCCCACGCAGAGAAAAGGTACAGGGAGTATCCCAAATTATTGCTTGTGATCAGCTCTCACTGCAAACATGGCCCAGCCTGGAGGCCTGTGTGGGTCTGGGCATCCTCCGGAACAGCACCGGGATTAACTCAATTAGGAGTTAATTGGGGGTCAGGGAAAACCCAAAAAGGACCTTCCTACAAGTTCAAGACAGTCCCCGGGGTCTGACAGGTCCCCACAATGTGGCAGCCACGGTGTGACACCACAGGCAGCACCCACGGGACCCTCGTCCTGCACGTGGCAGCACCGAAGCTGGAATAAAAACCTGGAATAAAACCACCGGCACTGCTCGGGAATTACTCACGGGCTGAAAGTCAACCACATAATTATGCACCTTGCTAATCCTGGATCGCTACCCAGGGCAGGGCTTCTCCCTTCCAAAAATAAGAATTCCAACTGCTTGTGGTCCTTCTGGCAACAGCAGAAAACCTTTGACCGGCAAAAAAAAGGTTTGGGGGGATCTTTTCTCTCTCTTCATCACTCCACTGTGTTTTGGATGGTTCCAAGGGAAATGAGCCAACAGTGGGACCAGTCAAACCACACAATCCCAGAATCATTCAGGCTGGAAAAGCCCTCCAAACCCATTGAGTCCCCCT